AAAGTCATGTCATTTTCCACTTCATTTGGTCTAGATGGGTGCTATGTTGAAGAAGATAAACAATTTTAACTTGAAATCAAAAAAATGTTTCATTTGTAGGAAAATTATTGTTCACATGTTTGGTTGCTTAGAAAATAAATGAAAGGTTAAATATCTGGTTTAGTCCCTCAACTTTCATTTTTGAACTAAATTTACCCTCAAACTTCAAAAAGTACTAAAAAAATCCCTGCACTTCAAATTTTGGGACCAATTTCGTCGTTCCGTCAACGGAAGTGCCAGATGACATGTTAAGTTGTCACAAAATCAATTCTTGTTTTAAATCTTTAATGACGTGGAAACTAACTTTTCCACCATGGCATTTTTTTGTCAACGTCAGATTCTCGTCGCTTCAACCCTTGCCTTTAAATGGGGCCCACCTAAAATATTTCTATATTTTTAAGGGTTTTGGTTGGGAAGGCCAAGAGTTTCTTCCTTTCTGTTTCTCTTTCCTTCTCCTTCCTTCTTTGATCTGAAACCAAAAAACCTGCAAAGTTTGCAATTTTCTTCAGGCATAAATCTCCATTGAATCTCTGCAATTTGGTCTAGAAAGCTGCGTTGACATGGACGATTATACTGGGCAAAAGAACCCCAAAGAACCAAAACTTGTACCTCCAGAAGTTATAGATGTCCATGGAGATCAAGGATACGATATGTTCTGTTTTTCGATTCTCGATTGTCTTACAATGTCTTTATTGTTCATGTCAAAAGATGCTGAAACAAGGGTTGGGTCGATCAAGTATGTGGGTAACATTGGGTGAAACAGAGGATATTGGGATCTATGATGTTTCTATATTTGTTTTAAAGTAACGTTTGGTCCCCACATTCATTGTCTATATATATTGAACTACGATTACATCACTGTTGAATTGAAATATATATATATATATAGTAATTTATTATAAAATAATTAATGAATTGAACTGTGGTTATGAATTGAATACAAATTGAAGAAAATAATGGCGATTTCCTACCAATGCTTATACATATGGGTGGTACTTTTAAACATGATAACAATGAAAACCTTCAATATGTTGATGGGGAATGTGAGAGATGGAAAGTGAATCCTGATTTGTTAATTGTGTGGGAGTTCTATGAGAAAGTAAAATTTGGTAGATACGACATTGAGTTAGTAGAGAGTATTTCTTATCTTGAGTCAAACAAGTCACTAGATGATGGTTTGAAGCAAATTGCTAATGACGATATAGTTAGGGAAGTGTTAAATGTGTTGAAGGAGAATAGGAAGGTTCATATTTAAGTGTCTCACATCCCCAACTTTGTTGAAATTGTGGAAGTTTTAATGCTCCCAACACCTGGTGAACATTTGGAACCTAAGGATATTGGTGGTATATGTGATAAAAATGGTCTTGATGGGGTATTTACTGATGCTAGTGGGAGTAGGATTAATGAGGATGAGTTGGTAAAAGAAATAATGGCGAAGAAGAAGAGGTCGAAAACGATGCTAGGGTAGAAATTGATGGAATTGAAGAGGCTGAGGAAGCTTAGTTTGAAGTCGCCTTGAAGATTTCCCTGAGTTGTCTGCTAATGATGATGATGAGACTGTTCTAACAAGGGATAATCTAAGGAATTTTAGAGCAAATCAAATTGGAGTTGCTTCTAGTTCTACAACAGTAGGTATTATATTGTGCTAGTAAATTATATCATTTATGTTATGTCAAGTTAATTTGCTTTATTCATATTTGGTGTTAATTTCATATTGTAAGTAATGTAGATGCAAGAGTCCATGATGAAGATGCTAGAGAAATATAATCTGATGATGAAGTGAGTTACATCTCCACAAGTAATGAAAAGGATAAGGAAGCAGATCATGATAGGAGGAGGCAAGCTAGACATAAAGTGTTTAAAAAAGTTGATGGCATTCCAGAAATGGAGCTTGGCATGATATTTCTGAACAAGAAACCATTCAAGAAGGCTGTGGATCAATTGAGCATTAGACAAGGGAGAGAGATTGCATGGGAAAAAAATGACAATAAAAGTATGAGGGCAGTATATAATGATCAGAGCTATAAGTGGAGGATCCTACTAGCATCTAACAATCCTACCAAGTCTTGGATGGTAAAAACCTTCAGTCCTGATCACATATGTATAGTGAGTGTTACCAACAAAGTTTGCACGTCTTCCATTGCTATCCAGCATTTGGTAAAGACAAAAGGAGCAGCTAGTCTACGTTTGAATAAAGAAGACATTTTTACTGAAATTAAGAATGATTTAGGTGTGGAGTTAATAGTTGTGCAATGTAAGAAGACAAAGATGAAGTTGAAAAAGACCTTTCATGAGGAATGTGAGGCTGAATACAAAGTGTTATTTGACTATGCAAATGAATTAAGGTCAAAAGATCCTGAAGCAAATGTTTTGCTTGAATGCGCTAGACCAACAGCAGATATGAATCCTGTTTTCTTGAGGATGTACATTTGTTTTAGTTCATTAAAGAAGGGATTTGTACCTTGATGCAGACATTGAATAGGAGTTGATGGTGCATTTCTTAAAGGTGCACATAAAGGAGAATTGCTTTCCGTTATAGGAAGAGATGCAAATGATCAAATGTTTCCCATTGCATGGGCTGTTGTGGAGGTTGAGACAAGGGAGGCATGTGAATGGTTTCTTGAAGAATTGGCAAAAGATTTAATGATGGGAGATGGAAAGAACTTTTGCATTATACCTGACCAGCAAAAGGTAAGAAAATTATTTGTATAAAGGACCAAGTTAGTCCTTGTACTTAGTTTAAGATGACCAATTTAGTCTTTTTACTTTGAACAATAATACCAATTCTGTCATTAATAATTTTACGTAATTTTACGTTGCATGGTTGTTGTAGGGCCTTATTCATGTAGTAGCAAGTCTACTACCACATGTTGAACTCATATTTTGTGCTAGGCACAAGTACAGCAATTTCAGGAAGCATCACAAGGGCAAGGAAGTGCAAAAGGCTTTCTTGAAATTTGTCAAGGCAAGAACCATGGTTGAGTTCAACAAAGCTATGGATGAGTTAGCAAGGTTGAAACCTGCTGCAAAAGGAACCATGTTGAAAACAGATCCAAAGCACTGGTGTCGAGCTTTCTTCCAAACAGAGACAAAGTCAGATGTAGTGGATAATAACATGTGTGAAGTTTTTAATGGATTGTTGATGGATTCAAGGCATAAGGCTATTATTTCACTACAGCAAGATGTGAGGTCTTTTGTGGTAAAAGAACAATTGCTAGGTGAAAATTTGGAGATAGGAAGTTTGTAGATGATTTTGGTCCAAGAACATGGGAGAGACTTGTTGCAAATACAAGTCAAAGTAAGAGGTGCAAATTGCTTTGGCCTGGAAGTACTCATTATGAAGTTCAAGAAAATGGATATGATGTATATGTGGTTGATGTAGATAACAGAAAATGTACATGCAGAGAATGGGATCTCACTGGAATCCCTTGTAGGCACGTCATAACAGCTATTAACGCCAAGAAGCTTAGAGTGGAAGAATTTGTATCACATTGGTATAGGAAGGATATGTTTAAAGCTGCCTATGAGTATGCATTGCCTGCAATTGAAAGGATGAATCAATGGAGAGAAATTGAAATGCCACCTACTCAGCCTCCTCCAGTGAGAAAAATACCAGGAAGGCCAAAAAAGAAGAAAGTGCTGGAAGAATGGGAAGGGTAGTGTAACATAAGCAGAAAAGGGAGAAAAATGACATGTCAAAAGTGTTTCCAAAGAGGCCACAATTCAAGGACATGCAGAGCAGAAAGGCCCACAATTGTTAGTTTTAGTTTAATATATACAAAATATTAAATGAATATTTAATGTGACATGTGATTTTCTTAAGGTCTTTTTTTATTATTGTAGGCCCCAGTTCAAGAAAGTGCCATTGGACGTGCAAAGCAAGTTCCTGTTGTAGAAGGCCCTCAACAGGTCCCCCTTGAAGATCCCCAAAATAATGTTGTTGATAATGAAATTGCAATGAGTTCGAGGGTAGATATTACATTTCAGCCCATATAATAGTTTGTCATTTTAACATATTATATATTATATTTTTTAGGACTCTCAAATTCCATTGAGTCAAGTTGTGAATCCAACTCATGTTAGTGATTCAACCCTTGTCCATAATTCACCTCAAGTGGCTGCCCATCAACATAGAAAAAGAAAAAAGTTACCAGTAAAAAGGCAAAAGAAAAAATGTAAGTTTAAAAGTTTTGGATTACTGTAAATTTTGTTGTTTTAAGTAATACTATGGTTCATTAAATATGTTAAGGTAAGATTAGTGTTATTGTGGGTTTGTTGATAGAATTCATATTCATAGAACTTGTAAGTTAATTTCATTAATCAATAAAGTTGTTACAAGGTGAAGGGAGTTCGGGTGCTACATTTGGTAGTGGTGGGCAATTTGTGACTAGAAGGCAGTTGGAAGCACAAGTAAGACAGAGAAAGAAAGATAAGGAAGCTGTTAGGAACAAAAAGTGAAGAAAAATTGAAGAGTGAACTGTTCCAGAAAACTGAACCTATTGTTGAAGTTTGATTTTGATGTCATTAAGGTTGCAAAGTGATGGTGTATTATTTTCCATGTTTGTTTTGTTATTTTGTTTGCATTTTAGAAAATTATGGTGTAATTTGTAGCTTAATGGACATTGTGCTACTCAGTTTGTATTTTGGGTATTATATGTTAATGGATAGAGTGGGTTTTGTGACTATGATTACATGTTATTGGCTAAATTTTATAAATTTCATGCTCTTGGGGACATACTGCACAAGAATTAGAAAATAATGTTCAAATGCCCTATATTTGCACATGACTTAGAATCAGCTAAGACATGCCCAGAAATTTGCATTTGCACAGGACTTAGACAATAAGGTTGAAATGCCCAGAAACAACTATAAATGTGTCATTAACTTGCCCATAATTTATACAAGACTTAGAGAAGAGAAGACAATTCAAATGCCCAGAATATGCTAGAAAGGTGCCATTAACAACACAGAATGTATTACATTGCAAAGATTTTAGATACAACTGAATTCACATCACTAACATTGCATTATCATTGCAATGAGAAAAAAAAAAAAAAAAGCCAAGTAGACAACTTAACTGATCATGATTACCCCAAGAGCTCCTCATCTCCACCTTCTTAACTTTTTTCTTTAAATGCTTTATCTTCCTATCCATTAATCCACTTTGCTTCTTCAGCTGATCATTTTCTTGTAATAGTTTTGCATTCTCTTCCATCAAATCTTTATTTTCCTCAATTATTTTCTCTTTTTCCAACTTTAACTCACCATTTTCCTTTTGAAAATTTTCTTTCTCCTTTAGATTCCTCAATTCCTTATCCTTCAAATCAACAACAACTCCTTAGCTCTTTCCTTGATCCTTTCCTCACCAAGTAGGAAATGGAAATATGGGCATTGTCCCTAATACCAGACAGTGTTAAACCTAATGAGAAATAAACCAACAGAACCAAAAAGGGAACAAAAAATATGGAAAAATGTTAGCTTACTGTTTTCTTTGGACAACAACGAAACCTCATTCCCATGTTTTGATAAGTGAATGAGGTTCGAACTACAAGAGCCAACCCACAATCGCATTTGTAATCTGCAGATCCAATCGAATACACACTTTGTGATGAAGAACCCTCCATCAATCTCTCACTGTTGATTTTGTTTGAAGAAGATAAAAGGAAGACTCCTGAATCTAGGGTTTAGTAGACAAGAGAAAAAGGCGAGAGAAAGTCTAGAAAAAGGAAAGAGAAAATGGTAGAAAGTTTCAGTTAACTCTGAATCGAAACCCTTGAAAATATAGAAATATTTTAGGTGAGCCCCACTTAAAGGCAAGGGTTGAAGCAGTGGGAATTTGACGTGGACAAAAAATGTCATGGTGAATAATTTATTTCCCACATCATTAAAGATTTAAAACAAGAATTGATTTTGTGGCAACTTAACGTGCCATCTGGCACTTCCGTCGACAAAAGGATGAAATTGGTCCCAAAAATTAAAGTTCAGGAATTTTTTTAGTACTTTTTGAAGTTCGAGGGTAAAATTAGTTCAAAAATGAAAGTTGAGAGACTAAACCGGGTATTTAACCTAAATGAAAATATTTAATTGATAAAATTGAAATTTGTTCAACTAATTAACGAAGTTAATTTCATTTTCATTTTAAACAACAACAATGAAATCAATTTCAATAGTAACAAAATAGTTTTTTCAATGAATATAAATTAATTATCAATTATTTTTTATCAATAATAAAAAAAGTTTGAAATTCAAACAAAAATGTTTTAAAACTAAAAATATTTGTGGTATTGGATTGCATAAGGGTATTTTTATCAATAGATATACATTTTTATATTCAATCATCTAACACTCCAAACATGTAACAAAATTATTAAATCACCTAATCCTATATAATCCAATCCAATCTTATTATTTCTATCTTATTTAGTCATATCCAATCCTCTATTCCAAACGTACTCTCATAGATCACAACTAAATGGGCCTATGTACTTACTTTAAGACAAAATTTTGGAAAATTATTATCCTACAAAATATTCTACTTGTTTGTACCACTAAAATGTAAGGGGGTACCCCCGGTGGCAATCTATATAAAGAGTTTTTGAAGAATGTGAGTATGATAAATTAGGAGATGAATTAAAACTATTTTTTATTATGTACTTATTGTTAAGAATAATCGATACAAATCAAATGATCGGCTTTAATTCAATGACATGGATTTTAAATTAATACTGTTTATTTTTTATGGATGATATGTTCAAATCCTATGGATCTTTTTTCACTTCCTCCCACTTAATACATGTAAATAATTTCAATATTTAAAAAAAAAAAAAAA